ACCAAGATAGTTTATAAAAAAGATAGTCTGCTATATTTATAGGAATTAAGTAATCATTATCCTTTTGACAAATTCAATGTGTGCGATGTGAGTAGGTTTAATACTTAATTACCTTTGACATAAAGTCTCTGCCTCATTCAGGATTTAAATGTCAAACAAAAATATCTTACCGAGATTTGAAAGCTCCTTTACACTGGACCTATATTTAACTGATGTTACTATAATATATAACACGTAGTAAACTTTGACATTGAATAACAAGGTTTAGTAACAAAGTGTTAGAGATGCCAATGATCCCATGTTGTTGTTGAGGAATTGGGCACCACATCCCCAAGATGTGATGGACTTTGCTTCCTTTTTGCTTATAGGTTAATCCTAGCACTGCGTATATATAGGCCGGTAAGTAGATAATGCAGTGAACAAATTGGTTCGCACCATTGTAAAGGTGATCGGCTGCGAGCAGCGCAACCCCGAAGGAGGCGGCGGCAAGCACGAAACGTGTTACACGCGGCGTCGGCTTGGCTTCACCCGTGTCCCAGGTGAGACGGCGCCGTTGGAGCACCAGGCTGCAGGCTGGTGGCGCTCGCATCGTCACCAGTCGTAACGTACGCCGCAATGATCGTAGCCAATTCGTCTGCAGCCCCCCCACAAAACACATTTTCGCCTTCAGTTGCCGATTTTATTACGTTTTGTCAGCATTATTTATTTTTTTTATATTTGCTAGGTTGTGTACGTTTCAAATAGATTTATAATTCATTTTTATGTTTTCACTTCACTTTTTAAAAATGACTTGGCTTGCCACCACGAGTTATGTTTGTTCCGTACATATTACAGTTTGACAGACATCAAAACAAACAGAAAGTAGCAATCATGTCATTATCAAGTCCTTCATTTCGCTATCCGCTCATTCAATGTCAGCTGACGAAAAAAAATGAAGGAGAGGTGGATAGTGACGTATAAACACGCGTATAGCACTATCAATGTTATTATTCGTAAAGGGTACGGAATTCATATTGAAGCAACATTGCTATACAATACAAGGTGTAACCTCTGTTTCCCAATGAAGATTCTTGAGGAATTCCAAGGTTCACGTCACCTCCACTTCTGAGTAGTTTTTTCCCAGCTGATACTACTTTAACTGTCTGATTTTACTGATATGTCATAATGTCCTGTGTAGCGGGAGCCTTATTCACTAGGTGTTTCAGACATTTGTTGAGTGTGTCTTTTGTAACACTAGGCAGTGTGCAAGTTGGTGGTTGTTTGCTATATTTATTAACCCACACGTGGGTTAATAAATATTCAATTGCCATGTTTTGGTCACTGTGTGTAGACAAATTGGCCGCAATAGATAAAAAGTGTTCATTGAAATAGTTTGATATGTTAGCAATAGGTACATCATACTCATTTTTATCTTTCAAACATACATTTTGTATTTTTCTAGCGGTGGATATCTCATCGTCAATAATTTTCCACACTTCCTTTGATTTATTTGTGCATTTCTGTAGACGTTTAGCATTGTATTTTTTACGCGCAGCTACACTGGTCGATTTTATCAACCCCGCGTAATGTTTAACACACTGATGTAACATTTTATCATTAGGATATTGACGACGCATTTCATTGTAATTATTAAATTTTTGTATATGTTCATACAATTCACTGCTCATCCACGGAGTGGCGTTATTCTTTTTTAAAAATATATTTTTATAGGAAAATGAACATTTAAATAATATGTCATAATACGAGGTTATTTCAAGTCCAAACATGACTTTATTTAGTACGCAGTAGACTCCAAGACCATAAAGTTGGGCCGCACTTTATTAAAATTTATTAAATTTGTAACGATCATTAACACAATGTCATATGGTGGTGGGCATTCAGCTAATTTTAATAAACCAGTCAGTCGCTAGCTCCGGTGTTTCATTGGCGTTGTAAAATTATCGGGCAGGTCGGTGCGCGCGTCCAATACGCAGTGAGAATTATTGTAATTCGAGTTTTGCGCGGCATAGGCCGCTGCGCGTTAAGTGGCAATGAGCTCCCAACAACTCATAGCCAATGAGCTTTTAGCGTTTATCCAACACGCCATCGATTTCATAGACGAAGTCAGCATCATGCAGATCTGCAAATCCAACTTCAACGAGGATGAGATTTGCAGTGGCAAGATGCTGTTGTTCGAGAGCCTCGGCAAAGCTGAGCAGATGCCATCTCGCCAGATGAGAGGGATGGAGGCGTGAAGAGTCTCCAGGATGTCATCACACTCCTGAAGGAGACTGACCCGGAAGATGTGCCAACGTTCGTAGCGAAGGAGCTGCACAAACTGCTCCCCGCTACGTTCGACCACGTCGATGTTAGCAGGCTGCTGAAGGATATCACTTCCCTGAAGTCAAGCCTGGCCGAGTTGCAGTGTAGATTGGAGGCTTCAGATAACACCATAAGTGAGCTGCGTGGCCAAGTTGCGTTATTAAGCAACGCTGCTTGTAGGTCACCAGAAGTCTCTAATGTAAACACGCGACGTGGGGCGCAAAATGCATCCATCAGCAGTGTCTAGTCGGCACAAATGGTTGCGTCATTGGTTGCGCGATTGGTCAGCTCAAGGGTTACAGTTAAAATGATAACTTTCTGTCAATCGAATTTTTTATACCACTCGACTCGAAAAACGTAGGTAGAACAGTATTGTTAGATAAAAGAATGGCAAAAACGTAATTATTTAATAAAAAAATTAATTCTAATGAATTTTATTATAAAAAACGCAAAAAAATAATTATCCACGTTTTAGAATAAATACTCAATAAAAACGTATATTTATTGGATATATATTCTTAGACGGATATTTATCGGGTAAAAACCCATCTCTAACAGGAAACAGATTTTTGAGATTATCTTATTAAATATGGTGTTTTAAATTAAAAATATGATTTGATAATATTTTGTTTGGACATGCACACAATTTAAAAACAATATAAAAATCCTGCATTAGTTTTTAACCCTTGCACTGTTCCACTATTCGTAAAATATTTTTTACATTTACACATTTACACCTTTGTTTACATTTTCGGACTTTGATTATTTATTTATTAATTTATTGCTGGCCATGGAAACAAAGTCCTTCAGCCGAAAACATAAACGTTTAAATATATTTCTGTAAATATGGCCACCACAAAGAGGATAGGCAATTTGAGGCGGCGTGATTGGATTCACTCGAGATTCCTTAGAACGGGCCGATACGGGTATTTTAGTTCGAGATTCGTATAATTTCGCGTTTTAATCTTCGATTAAGGCACAATAGCACTATCCTATTCCACTTTAAACTAGATTTCACAAAATAATTGAAAGTCAAAATAAAAACGACACTTTTCCCTCCAAAAGGCCCAGAGCGAATCTCGGACTTTGATTTAATCTGAGTTTAGACGAACTATGTAAACAGGCAAAAGGAAAACTCATACAGCCAACTGCCAAGTGTTCATAATGAAAACGTATTTTTTTTAAAAAAAAGGCAGTGAAATAAACTAAAGTTATCGAACATAAACTCGATGACTAAAGCGCCTTGGTATTTTTTTGTAATTTTGGCCATTTTTCTATGTTCGTCGCGAAAATAAGTTCTAGTAAGAAGAGCACATATTATGTCAAATATTCTCTTAAATCAAGAACTCCAATAAAAATAGGACTTGGCCTAAAGGTAACCAGGCTTAATATTTGAAAACAATGTCAAATATCACTTTTAATTTTAATTAACATTTATTTACTTTTTCTATTATACATCTTCTTCTCTTTAGTCTCCGGTTATTTCCTAATATAGTTTAAGAAAATCACTTATCAGCCTTGGCGGGAACGGTGATTGCTTGACTCGTACAAATATAAAGCCTCACTTGCGTTCGGCCTTGTAACTCATGCTCGTCCGACAATCCCTTACTTTCTTGCCTCTGCAATAAAGTACTACTTATAGAAGTTTAGAGCAGCGGACACTATTGGATTTTCATACTGACTTTGCTGGCCTCGGCCGGGAGGAAGTCGCAAGGTCCATAAATGACAAACTTTCAGTCTTCGTCTTTTGAAAGTACTGCAAACATTTCCGACCATGTTTGAGAAATAGTACATTATTGCAGAGGCCGGAAAGTAAGGGATTGCTGGACGAGTATGAGTTACAAGGACGAGAGACGGCGAGGCTTTGTATCACAGAACACACCGAGGAGGCTCGGTGCACCCGGACCTATCTTTAGGCCTATAAAGAACGGGGACTGAAGGGGCCCGCTTATATAGGCCCTACGAAGTACTCGGGAGGCAGGGCAACTAGCTCCACTCGACGAGGCGTTTGGCGCGGACATCGCCATTTTATTTTTTTTAGGGAAGCGGTACACTGAGGTATTTTTAATTTTCGCAGCTATGAACACTGGGCCGTTGACTGTGAGTGTATGAGTTTTCCTTTTTTTAGTTCGTTATTAGTAGGAAGATTTAAAAATGTTGAGAAGTGGACAGTAATGGGTTTTCATACTTACTTTGCTGGAGTTGGCCGTGAAGAAGCCGCACGGCCCATAGTTCGTTTTTTGAAAGTAATGCATTAGTAACATTTCTGAGTATGTTTGAGAAAATGTAATTTATTTGTGCAATGAAGAATTATGAGATAAAAACATTTTGTAACAATGTAATTAAATTTGAACAAACCTCGATTTACAACTATATAACTGTAAATAGTTTATGCTCTCGATTTCGGGCGTTATTGGGTTTTAACCCGATTTAAACCCAGGAGTAACAAAGCGCCGTCCCTCCCCGGGTTAAAACTCGGGCGCTTGCCCATCTCTGCCTACGTGTCTATATTTTACTGTGGTATAACTCGGTCTCTCTGTGTCGGTTTTCTATCTTTGTTTACAGAGAAGATGGCCTGCAAGATTGTCTTTAAAGTACGTTGATGACTTGTATTGTATGACTTGTACGTTCTAAAACATTGACAGTGTGATGTGCGCTTTAACTTATTGCGTTTTTTGAGTGAATCAATCGTTCAATGTGAATGATTGATTTTTCATTTATTGATGTCAGTTCCTAGTACTTTATTTGGAGTGATTGTACCGACGTTGTTATCTTTAAATCAAATTCTTGTAGAAGAAAATTAAAGTAGTACTTTAGAAAGTGTTGAACAACAAAGCCCCACTGAGTAATTGATCGTTTGGGTTCTACAAACTAAGGGAGCTATCTTAAAAAGTGTCGGTTGGAAAATCTTGTTTCTTCTGTACATCTTTTATTATCTAAATTTGGCCTGCAGGTCGAAGGATGAAAACGAGCGTGTAATACAAATGCGACTAAATATTTGTGTATCGTGTATTGCGGAAGTATGGCGTGGGCGGTGGTCAAGGGGCAGTTATAAGCGCGGCGTCGTGTGAGGGTGTACGAGCGCTAGTGCTAGGTGGCCATGGCGCTGAGCGGGTCAGCAACGGCATTACTGAAAAGCGCTACGCTACTGGAGCAGCTGCTCGAGGAAATCAACTTCCAACGCACCAAAGAAATGCGCCAACTCCTCAAAGATGGTAAGCACCCCTGCTGCCCTAAGTGATTTAACCTCGACAGTCAAGAAATAGTCAGTTATTATTAATCATTTAAAGAAACGTATATTTGTTTTCAAACAAACCGACGTTTCGGGCCCTGTAAATGACCTGTTTAAATCTGGAAAAATAGTTTCATTTCCTATGTCTAACAATCGCGAAAACCTAAGAACTCCAAATTAAAAGAAAGTTTTGGTAACGCAACCGCATACTTATAAACTCTTAGCATTGACATAGACATCGGCCTTCTATATATTAACATCACAATTTCAAATGATAAAACTCGATGTATGTACTATTGCACCTTGGTAATGAGAACACATGACACACTAGGGTTTCCTGCTCTCCCTCTTGTACTGTAAAATATATGACAATTTCTAGTATAATTTGTTTACCTTTGTAATAAAGTTATTTTAAATTGAAATGAGTAATGCAATGCAATATATTCCACGATATAGTATCATGGGTATGCGAAAGTACACCACCTCAAAAATTACTGGAGCTAAAATTTGCTCTAAAGTCTTAATTAATCACTCATATTTGGGCAATTCTCACAAAATCTTGAAATTCTTGTCTTAGGGTTTATAAATAAAAGTGTTTGATTCTTGGCGTAAAATTAATATTCAATAGCAAATTATAATTCAATTGCTACTAATGCCTACATAAGATATTTATTATTCTATTTAAATAACAAATTTAAATTTAACTGCCTCAGTGGTCGAACGGTTACCATGGCCTGACTACCACGCAGAGGTCCAGGTTCGATTCCTGGGCTGGGAGAAATATTTGTATGGCCTACATTTATTTCTCTTGTGAGTTTGGGTGTCATTTGTGGTTGTCTATGTGTGTGTCCATGGCACCCGTAACAGGGTTTTCCTAGTGCGGGGCTATGTTGAGTGTGTACGTTATTATTGGCCCAGGAATAGAACTTGGGACCTCTACATTTATGTAAGTCTCCATGCAACCATTAAAGTTTTAACTATGTCATACTTTCTACATAATTGATAAATTTTTGTTCTTGAAACTTCATTGATCTGTTTATAAATATACTTTACAAATTAAATATGTTGGAATTGAGTAGAAGTCTAAATAATTTGCCTTCTTGATCTTTTAAATGTTATGGCCCCATGGAAATAGTCAATGATTTCGACAATGTCAATTAAAAATGACTATGTACAGTAGTTTTGTAAAAATAATAGCAAAAATAAAATAATTGCCATTAGCAAGGTTGGTACCTCCCACAAACTCAATTTGCCTTTTCCACACCATTTTCAGTTTAATATAACTGTATTCAATGCATAAACATCAAATTATAAGAGCAGAGCTGCACCCAGCAAAGGGTTGGTTAATAGTTTGCAATAGTCTACAAATATCTGTAAAAAATATAGGTCATGCACCCTTGCTTATTACTTGGAAATGATGTAACTTTTCACACCTGAATACAGGAACACATTGTGTTGTGAGGACAAATTATTTGTTTTTGTTTTTTTCATGTTTTGGCAGTATTTTTATTAGTTTTGCTTTTATGGCTATAGTGTGAAAAATGAAGAAATTAAACCTTTAGACACAAAATTCCCATAGAGATGATGATAATTTAAGTTTAATTTAGGTTCACACATTACATTTAACTATTCAGTATTCTCTCTCTCTTGGTTTCACAAAATTTTTCTCTTTTGTTTTCGGCCAGGATTAAAGGTTAAGGATTAAATGAAATAAAGTGTCTAGAAAAACATTTAATGAACTTTAATGTACAACATTATTGGTATAAACACATTATATTTAATTATAGTTTTATTTTTCTTCAATTCTTTTATATTTTTTATAAAAAACATTACAAACCCGGAATGTTGTTTAATTAAATGCACACACATTAGAACTCAGTATAAACTTGAACTAATAGAGTTGTGGATTTTCTATGTTTAATATGCATTTTTACATAATAGTATCCAGTTTCTTGTACATTTATTCATTTCAGTTTGCAACTTATATTTGAGCAATGTGTGCAAACAAAATAAATATCATCATCCATGAAGTCAACTTTCAATGAGACAATAACTAATACATAATTAATGGAACAGCTTAAAATAATATCATAAATATAAATATTTACAAGTGAGAATCGTAATAATTAATTAAGAATTTCCAATATTTCCAATAGGTACTGGAGAAAAATTAAACAAACACACTGCTATTAAGAAAATAACATATATACTCAGCGTGCATCTGCAATTTCACTAAGAATTTTTTGCAGTAATTGTAATTTATGAGGAAGTCTCCTGAATGACAGGAATGTTGTGTAATGTATACATTGACAGGGAGATTGGTTGATAATGTGCTGAGATTCAGTGTAGTGGCACCTGGCTGTTTGTGGCCTTAGAGAAGTTGGCAACAAACTGACATTGGCTCAAGCCTAGTGGCCGCCATTGAGGAAATAATAACAATCAGTGCATGGCCTAGTGCTGCATAGCCAACAAGCATAATCTAAAATTCTACACTGTTAATGTATATCCTTTGTTGTTGTTTGTTACTACATTCTTATTCTTCTTAGCGATTTACATTATTTACTATGATGTTTTCAATTTTTGCCATTAACCAATTTTATCATTACCAAATTCAAAATATTTTTTCTGTTTCATACATTACTTGTTATATTCTATGGTTATACGTTGACAATTTTGTCCAGCTAGACATAAACACCTAAGCAAACTGCAGTCACTACTAAGTTAGGATTACAGTAAAATATCAACTTTTTTATTTGAAGGCACTTTAAAATGTATTTTCCATCAGCCTTCTAGCCAACAGGCTAGAAATCCTTACAAGCTAATGTCAAAATTCAAAGCTGGATATTTGAGATAATGTAAACGATTGCTTGCCCGGGACCAAACATTTGATTAAATAAATTATGTGCTTCAATGTAATTGGATGGAATGTAAGATCTTGCGATATTTCAGAATCTGGCTTCGTAGTACTTCAAGGAACGACATATTGGACAGATTTGTTTGTGCGGCACTTTCTTTTCCAAGAAGAGCAGGCTATCGACTGCGACGACTTGCTGTTCTTCGTCAGGAAACGACACGTGAAAGGTTCCTCACGGTATTTGCCCAAGTACGAGGTAAGCTCTAGATTATTGAAAATTATTCCAACTGAAATTAGGCTGAGATTTGACATTTTAAATGCAGCTGCGTCGACACAATAAAGCTACCATCCGCTGTTGCCTTATTACTAGAGGCAATTACTCTTTGACATTATGTAAATTATACTTTAGCAATATGATGGACATTGTTTTTGAGAAATACTTTACCATACAATAGTTACAATTGGAAATCTAAGAGCGAACTAGATTGATTTTTGCAGATGCTTTGTGACTAATCACTTCTATCACACACCAGTACATTTGGTACACTCTGTTCTAACTTTAACTAACTAAATGCATAAATACATTTCTAGTTAGCACCATTTGGATAAAGGTGACGAACTACCGGACCATCACTGTTTCGAAATACAAAAAGATTCATTAACAACAGTTGTTAAATGTTATTTATTTAAACAATATAAAAATATTATTTCTTAGCGTAGGCTGCTATTACAACAACTATGTACTACGATGAAATCGTGGCGCGGACGGGGCGGGCGCCCGCCGCCTGTCGTTAATGGCCGACATGCGCCCGCTCCTTCCGCCACGCGCACGCTTCCCTCTCGCGCTCATCACTCCTCTCACACTTGATCACAGTATATTTGTAAATAAATAACTAATATGCATGTTTTCAGTTAAACTCTCGAGATTCTTCAATAACCACTTATAAAATATACAATTTACAAAAACAAAAATTCTATCAACATTCAACTGTACCTAATAGATCGATTAATATTATGATTGTTCTTCGCCAAATGGAAATCAGTTCTTTAAACGCTATACAACAGTTAAAAGCATTCAAGGTCATCGGTATAAGTAGAACACTAGAGTAAAGACGGCGAAAAACTACGCTCGTCCATAGAATATCACATTGTCACTAAACGCTAGAGTCCCTGGCCTCGCCCGGTCCAAGGACCGACACTAGCACAGTTTAGGCACATTGTCACATCACGGCCGCGGTCTTTTCACAGACCGACGTCGAGGTGTTCCGCAAAGATTCAAAAAAGCTGCCCATCGGCGACCCCGAGATTGACTGGGAGGAGACGGTGTACCTGAACTTGATCGTCCATCAGTTTGACTACACGCTCACTCTGGCCATCTGTACGCGCACCAGCCCCAAAGAGCTGCAGGTGCTGAAGCGACACTCGCAGAAGGTGAGCGTCATACGCGCTGGGGTGGCGGTGGCGGTGCAGCGCGTCACTAGCTGAGCCGGCTGAAGAGCTTGGTGCGAGGCCATGGCAGCGGCCAGTCGTAGCGGCGCGGTACTGGCCCGCGCACGTTGCGCTCCAGGTAAGTGAACGCCCAATACCACCACTCTCGCTGTATCATGTAGTGGTTGTATCCGTTGCCTGCTCGATACGGCGTCACCAGCAGCGAATGAAACGTCCAGAACAGCCGCGTTGTCACGTAGTACGCAATCACAACGTCCACTGTGTAGTGGCCGTGTGCAAGCAGCAGAAATATCACGCCCAGTAGCGCCGATCCCCACATTGCCCAGTGTACAGGCCACAGCTTCCGCGGAGAATACTCCGCCACAATCAGATAGCTCAACACTAGCACCATTGTGTGTCCTGAGTAGATATAATCACCGCAGTAAGTGTGTTTGCCGTTAATAGACAGCCCGAAACCGGATATTAGGTAAAACGTCCTTCGGATTACGAGCAATGGTGTAGTGTTATTGCTCTTAGGACTGCAGTTGTAGGTGGTGCTGGAAACAGGCAGCACGGTGACAAACATAGTGATGGAGCGGTACAGGTATAGTAATCCTATGATAAAGAACATGCGTCGTGACACAATGAATCGGTGCTTGTGGAACACTACGACGAGCATTGCTACTGTGGTGGAGACCATGATGAGGTACTCGGAGACGTCGAGCCCCCAGTCTCGGGCCGCTACGTTGTCCAAGACGATATCGTTAAGCGGCGGCGTGGTATTGCGATCAGGTAGTCGCTCGTGCACCAGGGACAGTGACATCATGTTGATGCACACACACAAGAACAGAAAGAAGAAGGACATAATTGTCTTCCATATCTCTTTAGGGTAGCGCTCTTCGCGTACTGCCCCCGGCGGAATTTCAACTATGAAATCGCCACTGTGCCGTTGTGGCGAGTGTTCCTGATCGGGGTCTGATTCGTCTGTAGTTGGCTGTGTATGTGGCGCGTCCAATTTGGCGGCGCGCGCTAGAAGAGGTTGCCGTTGCATTAACTCTGCTTGGCTAGGCATGTCGCCCTCGGCACTGGCACCTTCTGATTGCGATCTGGACGCGTTGTTATTTAGGTCATTCCGTTTGAGGCGTGCCTCAAAGTTAATGCCTTTGATGTCCTCCTTAGCGGTGTGCGTAGCTATGTCGACATCGCAGTGTGGTGGCGCAGCGGGCTCGGATGAACAAGGTAATAAAGTCGGGGGCGGCAGCGGCGGTGGGCTCGGCGGTGGAGTGGGCGCGCTCGGCACTAGTGTTAGCTGCTTAGCGGGTACCTCATGGGCAAGATACACTCGTACCGAAGCCACCAGCGGCTCGGCGAAGTTGATCTGCTTCGGCTGCGACGGCTCCTTTTCCGGGGAGCGAGCTGAGATCGTCATCCAATCACCATTTGGGTGGATTGACCCTGAAATCAGGAAAAGTAGTCTATGTTATCGCTTTGTCCAATACACAATCATTCAAAATGAATAATAGTAAGTTATTGGAAGCTTAGTTTAATTAATTCGACCAGTATTCATTTCTGATTGGCATTATATGGCTATGACATATCGTTAAACGTTCATTTATTTTGATTACACTGAAATGTTCCAGACAAATTGAATTGTGATGTGTTGACGCAACAGATAAATATTTGTATACTCTGCTGTAGCTGAACGTATAAAGTGATTAGTCAACAATAAACCGGTCGTCGTTGCCGTAGTAAAAAGTTCCACATTCTGTTGCGTAAATCTCAATTGACTGTTTATCGTCAACGTAATTACCTGCCCTAGTAGGTGAAGAAATTAAGTACCTATGTCAACTTTCATTGCGAATAGATACGACTGTGTTAGTTAATTAAATACTTAATTTAATGTTTATTGTCCTAGAAGATTCAATGTTGTAAACAAATATAACAATAGAGCGGTGTGTGGGTTCAAAGACCGAGTGTGTTGGTTGTGCGCAGCGAGGGGCGCCGTCGTCAGCCTGTCAGATGATAATTACTTAGGACATTGCAGCCGACCATCGTGCCAGACGAATATAGAACGTCTCAACTACACATTTCGCATTGCTCTCTAAATACGAGCATGTTTTTAATGGCGCTACGTTTTAGAAAGTTGGGTTTGGTTGGGTATTCTTTCCTACTCACCCGATCAATGTGCGAGCTGTCATTGGAGCCCACCGGGGGCACATCGATTCGACGTGTCGATGCCGCTCGATTTACAGAACCGGAACGTTAGTCCCGGCACCACTCAAACCACGGGGGCACGTTAACGAGGTCGAAATGGAAAACTATCCGCGTTCACCTCACCACACTGCACTGTAAAGGCACTGAGTACTTGAGCGGGGGGCGCTCATAGGCGATGAACGCTGCAATCCGGAATCGGATGCTCTCACTGTGCACTCAAAGGCCTTGGCCCTCTGAATACTTTTGATTATTCTCGATTTACCATTGATTTCACCAACGTAAGCGAACATGTAAAGCGGCGAACGAGGAGTCGCGGACTAGAAACGAAACGATATTACACTAGTTGGCTTCGGTACGGCGTGCGTTGCTCGGACGACATCGGCGGAGTTCGCGCGCACTCGGCTCAATGGACGAATTATACAAACCGACGTCACGCCGAACGCCCCTCGCGAGACGACCTCTCCCCCGCGAGCGTCGAGCGGTCCCCCGCGCCCCGGCGCCCCGGCGCCATAGCTCGGTGCGACTGCACTTGACAGGCCTTCGTCGCGCCAAGTTCGTGCGCACTAACACAACACCGGCCGGCCCGTCAAACCGGAACATATAAATTTTTTGTAACAGGCGGGCGGCGCGGCGCGCAGTGATGACTTCGATGGGATAATTTCCAGTGATTATAATTTAAAGAGTTGACGCTTTTTGTAGTGCTAAATTGGGAACTATTTAGAGCATCACATTTCCGAAGGCACCAAGTCCACATGGCCAATGGCATAGCCAGGAAACAACATTTTCGGTATTGGTTAATGTCAAAGTTTACTCCTGAGAAGGTTTTGTAGTTCCTCGAATTATTACAGTATCGCCAGTTTGGAGGTCTTGTCTAGGGTCTCCAAATTAAAATTTATGGTAGTACTATTTATGTATTTATAGGTTGGGAGGTATCTTGCCACGGAGTTTAAAATAGGTTCTATAGATAAGCGGCGTAAGGCGATACGAATCCGGTTTGATTGCCTTGTTGATACAAAGTACTTTGTGGTCAGTACAGTAGTGCGGCAGTTGGGCTATGTCCGTGCGCGAATTAAAGAAGCAAGTTTGAGATCGTCATAAATAGGGGTTTTATTATCATGGCACACCTGAGGCTAGTATAATAATTATAATGGACGTTTCTTGTAATATCTACGTTGATTCCGTATTGTTTTGTTTAAATCCCATCACTTGGTTAAAACGAACGCCCATGTTCTTGAAAAAACGTTTTCTGTTTTACTTCGCTAACAAAATATTTACAGTATCCTGCATTGTGGTACATACTGGTAACGAACTCATTGAAGCACTTTCAAGATTGTACTGGTATTTGTGCTGTTTTACGAGTGCATGAACGTCGAACGGGAAAACAACTTGTGCAAACCTAAAGCATTTCAAAATTGAGATATATCATAGGAATAGGTTAACACTAAACTTACTTTTAAATCTAGATTAATAAAGATTTATTTTACCATTACCTTGATGAAAAACGCTAATATTAAAAGATTTTGCTTAGTAATGTTCGGAACTGTGCCCTTATTATGTAGTAACTACAACAATCAGATTTTCACAACTATTGATTGCGCCCTTTAATTCTATCAAGTCAAGTTTTAAATTTCAAAGTCACAATACATTTAGTTAGTTTAACTAACTTAATCCTTTATATGCAGTATCATTTTTTTCTACTGAGTTAAAAGAGAGAATGAAGGTTTTTTTTTAATTAAAAGTAACGGCAAATTAAAATACAACGGAATCTTCTGTATGAAATGTTATGTCTTATGTATAATTAACATAAATAGACTATTTAATATGAAAAATATGTTTTAACATTTTTTTCTCAGAAAATTCTCTAAAATTGTTAAATTCTTATCCGTAAATTTGGAATTTGCTGCTTCCGAGGGGGAATACATTACGCTTATGACCGCCGACCTGTATTTCGTTTTGCCTGTACCAGTGAAAGCAAATACACCGTTGAGATATAATTATGAATGGGTAAAGATGAGTGCAGGGCGCACTCATCGCGTCGTGGTGAATGTTCACTGATCCCACGGCGCCGACTCAACCGGCGAGAGGGAAACCCGGGGGGGTTTTAGTGGGGTAGTCCCTCCAGTTTGGAGGGAGAGTCCCCACATAACTCCTGAGTCTCCCTGGGCTCAGGGGTAGCCATAAAGATTTCCCCCCGTCAAAAAAAAAGAAAAAAAAAAGGGCGCACTCATCGCGTCATCGCCGACATGACTCAGATCAGTCGTTGGTATTTCTAACTTGTTACTGTTTGTGTGCATATTATCGTCGCCCTTCCGTCGCATAGTGTTCCAAAATCCTTACAGACGTGACATTTGGGGTGAAGCTTAGCAAGTGATAAGCTGTTACGTTTTAATTGTTAACGCACGATGAAACTCCCGCATGCCAATATTATATGATTTTGGAGAAAAAGTACGTCAAAAGTTTTTCTATTTTATACTTACGAATTACAAAAATGCAGTGCACTAATTATGCCGCTTAATAATTGCCGCTTCTCCGAAATGCAATCGCAAGTTAAAAACATCGAACATTTTCTTAAAACAGTCACATTTTTTTCTTTTCGGTGCTTCTGAACGAAAGAACTCAACAATTGCATTTAAATGTAGGTAAACCCTTGGTAAACCTTTGGTCTACCATGTTATGTTTAAAATACATCAGCAAAATAAAAAAAAATCGAAATCGTCGATTAATAAAATTGTTGATATGACGCGGCACGATTTTTCCATTAGCCAAGTTTTGGTTACAAAGTTGATCCGTGTCTCGATTTGGCCGCGAATCTAGGTCAAGTCAAGGCTGAGCACACCTGCCGCCCTCCTGCAGACACCGGCGTCGAGTGGGGCGGACGATCGCGCCGGACAGACGCCGGAGAGGCTGGAGTTTATCTCAATACTATTCTTTTGCGACTATAAAAAGTATTAGCACTACATCATATACATTACATCAATTTGAGCTATCTATCGCACTTTTCAAGTATTCAACAAGCAAGTATGATGTACATATTTGTGCCTCGTACGTATTCTGTCAGACTTCATTATCAATTACTATCATATTGTTCAGATATTGGTAAGTATTGTATAAAAGTGTGAAAGCGACAGAATACTGGAAGCCTTTGTTTAACCTGGATCGTCCGTTGCATAAAAGGGGACTGATTCAAATAGGCGTGGTATTGATTCGAGTCATTTTGCAAGACAGGCGGATCGTCGTCGCCGGCCGTCGCTTTTTACTTCCACGTTTGTACGATAACAATAGCTTCCACATCATTGCACAAAGATAACATGTCTCTTCGCCTAACTGCAAAGTCTTGTGTTCGGTTCAAAACTTTTTGTGTAGAACATTTTTCTGTCAGAAAGCACTTTGTATACTTAATTCCTTTTCCTGAGAACATGAAAAGGGTGGGTTGAGAGCTTTGCACGTCAGTCGCGTTGGAGATATTTATTTAATGTTTTGCCACGAGATCAATTGCATTGTTATTTTATTTGGACCTAAGTCATCGGCGAAGGATCAATAAGGCAACCGGAGTGCAGTTGTATAGCTAAAAAAGCCGTAAAGGGGTCGGCGCGTGGTGCGGGTAATGCAGTCACTACGACCGTGCGGCGGCGACAACGTCGGCGTCAGCGTCGGCGTCGAACGCGTGCTTCCAGGGCCTGCATTCTCTTTTAACCCTGCTGTACATCTATGCAATTTTAAAGTAAGTAAATACTCCCTTTTTTAAAAGCCGTGAGAGCAGAATGTGAGCAGAAGCTAAGCGCCAAGGGCAGGCAAGCTAGTTTGGAGGTCAGTAATATTTTAAAAGATGAAACTAAACCCGTAGTTGAAGGCCAAAGAAAGTATTCATTTAATTGTTCATTCAAAGCACTTTAACCGCTAATTGATACAATTGTGTATAATGATAAGTCCTATCTATCAGAGAAAATCGATACAGTGTGAAAGTTATGGAAATAATGAAATTTAACTGCTTTTTAAAATTGTATTATGTAATAGTAATTGAAGCAATGCCACGATGGGTGTCGTAACGTAGCATGCGCTTGCGTAGGTGTACGCGTCGCCGTCACGCCGCAAGATGGACACCAAGGGAGAGGGCGAGGAGATGACCTACCCCCACATCTGCTTTATGGTGGACAACTTCGATGAGGTAAATATTGGTAAATTATCTTTTAACTTTTGTAGGTAGGTACGAATAAAATGCATTAGCAATTTTTTAAATGAGAGATAATGGGCACTATTTATCGACAGTTCCATCCATTTTATAGGTACTACGATATAGTACGAAATATGTATTTGTCTAAGTATTTATGTAGTTTTAATAATTTAGTGTTTTTGGTATTTTTTTTTTCATAATTTTTGTTTTCTTAAGCACGTAAATACGTTATTGCAATTATTGTCTTCTGTTTTTAGTTCTGCAGGAAGAAATTTCTGTTAGAAATAAGCAGGACCTTTTGTTTGTGTCTTCCATGTTACTAAATGTGATTTTGTTTTTTTCTGTACAATAAATGATTAAATAAATAAATAATGCTGAAGCCAGAAATTTAGCTATAATCGAAAAAATATAGCTGAACATCCTTGGTCGAGACAACTTGTGTAGCTAGACTGCGCCTCACTGGGTCGTCGCTGATTAATAATAATAAAAGCACACACACTAATAACCTCGCACTTTGGAAACGCTGTGTTGCGGGTGCCACGGACAACATATAGACAATCACAAATTACAGCGAAACTCACGAGATAAATAAATGTAGGCCATTGAAAGATTCTCCCGATCCGGGAATCGAACCTGCATGCGTCTGCATGGCAGTCCAGCATAGCAAGCGCCCAGGTACACCGGCGGCGCTTTCACGTACATTAACGGCGAATCTGAATTCTCTTTACTAGGCAACAATATTTAAATTCATCGGAACAATAAAACCGCGCGGCCCAGACCCAGGACGGACGCTCATTTAAGTTAAAACGTAAAGGTGCACGCGCGAGCCCGGTGATATTTGTGGCGAATAAATGCGCCCTAACCGTGTGGCCACGGAGGCAGTTTGAATTTGATTAAATTGTAACACGTACGTAGGTACGTGATTCGTCAAAACGGTATAAAGTCATAAGTCACATGGTGTAAGGTAGTAAAAGTTAGTAAGTACTTATTTGTTATTGGCACATGGCTCTGTCTGACACGTCATGTTTTATCGAGTTCTTAGGTTTTCGCGATTCTTAAACATAGGAAATGTAACTATTTTTCCGGATATAAATCGCGTATATTTGTTTTTTCAAACAAACCGACGTTTCGGGCCCTTTACAGGTCCCATGGTCACGGTTGACTGAGGTGGTACAGTTTTCAGCCAGTTATGTCTAATATTGATGCAAAGAACCCTATTTTTTCACTAAAGGGCCCGAAAAGTCGGTTTGTTTGAAAAAACAAATATATGTGATTTAAATCCGGAAAAATAGTTTCATTTCCTACGTCATGTCTTGTTATGATAAATGTTCACCATGTATTTTGATATCTTGCGCTCGCTCATACTAATGAGCATTGGAAGGATTTTTCATCGTCAGCCTAAACGACACACAGAAGCTGCAAATATTCTGTAATGTAAACGGAGAAACCTTTTCTTTATATTGTTGTTTGTCAATAAGTGAATAATAGCTTCCGTACGTAAGAAAAATGTAGTCTTATTTACTGGTTTGGTTTAATATATTATTTTATTATGAATAGAAGTTAAAACAAGCAATCGTTAACCGTGCACCATTTTAACTAGACTAGGACATTTTTTTTCCTGTGTTTTTTCACGTTTTTTTTTATAATATTAAGTTAAGTTATTAGTTAAGTTAATATTATATTAGTTAAGCTACACGCTTGTCCATAACAGTTGCAGTACCACTCACACGTGAGGAACACTGGGCATTGCCACTGCGCCCATTACCCTGAGACATGAGTTGACAAGTCCCATGTGCCTGTGATTTCACCAGCATAGCACCCTTACCCTTCAAAATCGGAACGCATTATTATGCTCACAGTACTTGCTGGGCGGCAGAAATAGGTAAAGTGGCAGTAGTTATCTGGACGAACTCCTTCACAAGGAGCTCTACTGCTACTAAACATTTTCGAAGGCTTTCACGATACGCAATTTGATTGACGTATTTTGATAAATTTATTGGCGCTCATGACCAAACCACAACTCGCATATACCTATACCTAATGTAACGAATTGGGTTGGATTGAATACGAATGTAAGTTCCGGTCTGCCTGCACAGGTAGACGCTCTCCGGTATACCGTAGCGAATGGCATAAGAGGGCGATATGTGACCGGTAGTTGGCGCAAGCGCACCAATCTCAACGACGAGAGTAAAGTTGATTTCATAAAATTGTTACTTGTGTAGGGTTAAACGACGTTCATCATTTAGGCATGTCATTATTATTATTTTGTTCACTGCAACCCACTGCATGATTGTTCTTATTTTTTATTTGCTGACTAAATTGAAATAAGCAACTTGCCGGTGTAGGTACTTGTCTCAAAATATACAATATAAAGTACAGGTTATATTTTGATTGTAGTGACGTTGTTTGCACTGATAAGAATAGGAACGTCGTCCTCAAATATATTTTTATGTTCGTTATTTGTTTAAGGAGATGAGGTGATTTAACGTATGGTGTCGATTGATAATGTAGTGTTATGCTACGAAACGTAGAATTCAAAAGATTATATTGACATTTGGTCGGCAGCGCAGTTTCGCTGTCGACATACTGGACCACGCAATTTATTTGATTCTACAAGATTTCGCCCGAACATGTACAGCGGCGCCCAATACCATATCTTCTAAATCTTCAGTTTTGTTATGGTTAGCAAATGTAGGTTAACTAACGAACGCTAAATACGTGAACTGGCATTCATAATACTTAATTAATAATTGATGCTGTCCTTGCGTTTTGCTCATAATCGAGAACACAATGAATTTGCACAATATTAGTATTTGGACGATAAAACTACAATCGAGTAATGTTGAGCCGCAGCCAGCCGAGAGCGATAACACGTACGTACTTTCATTATTATTGCAGTTCATCATGCTAGCCAACGGCGCGGCGGCGGCGCGGCGGCGCACAGTGGGCCCAAATTGATAATTCTTGGACATAGGAATAACTTGTAGAGTATCAATAAACAAAATACAATAAAACTCTGCAAAGGCGCTGCAATAAAACTCATGATATTTGCGGTGCGGGCTTGTTACTTATTGATGTTTAAATACAAAATACAAAATCGACTCCTCCGTAGAACAAAGGTCTATGTGCAAGACTACTTTTTCTCAGGACATAGTACATTTCGTTCGTTCTTCTTCTCTGTTGATGTCAGATTGACTTTTGTTCGATTTTATATTTCCGAAACGAAATAAAGTATATAGATTCTCTAAACACCTTTACATAGGCCTTAGTTTAAATAAAGAAATTGTTCTCGTAACGTACGTATTCTCTTTTCGTTATATAATCACATCGGACTCTGTTCTTCCGATGAGTCGAAATGTTTATTGAACTTCCTACGGAATTTGACGATTTAAGTACTCGTTACGTGATTCAATTTTTCGATTGCAAACGGGTTCACGCACGCCTGTAATATTAACTTTTTTCATACAAAATTTATCTTATTATTCCAATTTGAATTCGGTACGGTGGACAGATCATTTACTGCAAATACGTACATTGTGTAATATTTATAAATAAACAAGTGCATTAAGATGTCGTTACTTTGATTGTGGTAGTTGAGTTTTCCCTACATTGGTTACCATTAGTAGGTTGCCATGTCCGTCACTTATTTATTTTCACCGTATAATTTTGTCATGTATGAATAATAATAATAATAATAATGTGCCAGGCAACCACAATAATATAATCCCAAACTAGGGAATTCCCTGTATTATAAGAACCAGAACGACGAAATTATTATTATTTCTTTTTTATTTTATCATGTGACGGGAGGAAAAGTCGTGACCCTAATATGACGGTAAGCTACGCGCCTGTCCATGATAGTTGCAGTGCCACTCAGAGCTTTAAATCGCACTGATCTGAGGAGCAAGCACTGTCACTGCGCCCGTCACACTGAGACATAAGTTGAAAAGTCCCATGTGCCCGTAATTTCACTAGCACCCTTCAAAACCGGAACACAGTAATGATGACATTATTGCTTGGCGGCAGAAATAGGTAAGGTGGCAATACTTCCCTGGACTGGACGAACTCTTTCACAAGGAGCTGTACTGCTATTATTCAATGGCACCGCCTGGAACACACGCCAGAACCAATTTATTTTGGGAATTGGATCTGGGACCTCCTTCTAGCTCTTACTGTACTAACCGCCATCGAGGTCGTCAAATTTGGCGTCTAAACAATGTTTTACAACGCTATGCAATAGATTTAGTATAGTTTGATAATAAATGCCTTCTTTGCACAATACAGTCTGGTTTTGTCTTTTGAGAATAGATGAACAAAACAACAACAAGACAAAGTTATACGAGAAAATGTCTCGGTATCGGTGTCAGTGTGGTGCCGGTGGTGTTTTCGCTCCAGTAACTGCGAGTCGGTTAGAATTCCTCCAGCCGGCCCGGGCCCGGCACAATTACTCCTTCGCCCTCGCTCCCGCAGATTAAAGTTCCTTGTGAACTAAATTTGAACTTTACACAATTGTAACACGGTCTAACTAACATTTTGTATGATTTAGTGCATGTAAGTGCAGTTGTAGCCATTGACCACACATTTTGCTTTCCGCAAAGCTGGTCAATCGTGCGCTTGTATGGGGCGTCACGTTACTTTGTGACAAAATGAAAATGGATTAATTTGCTCTGAACTGAACAACGCCGAAATCAACGGTCAAGTGTGATCTCTGTGACAATGGTTTCACTTTTGTTTGTCGGTACGTCGCGTCGCGTCGCTGTCGACGAGCGTACAATGTTTTGATAAACAGTGTACTACGAAAAATGTTTTCATGGGTCACGTCCAGAGCTTAAATAATTATGAATGTCATTTGTTTTTGTAGTCGTTCCTTGAATTTAGATGAATGCGGCGGTGAGTAGTGACCGTGGGCGGTGGATAACCGCGTCCGCGGAGCGCGGCAGATATGCGGCGGGTGACTCAGAACAGAACCATCGACGACGATGACGTCGCTCGTGACTAAATCGGATGATGCGTCCGCAAGCCGTGACATTATTCCTTCTAACTGTAATCATTTGCTGCATAGTTCATCTCACGTAAACACCTTGTTGACTTGATGTCGTTGCGTATGTTTTCTTCGCAGTAATGAGGTTCCTATTCGCCAGCAAAATTATAGTATTATTATTCATTACAGTAGCTTGTTTGTTTGGCACATCTACGTACTGGCACAGCGCTATCAGCTCCGCGCGTCGCGGTCGCTCGGTATGAGTACCTCTCATGCGCTCACTGCGTCCATGTTTCGCATACGTCAACTTTGCCATTGCAAATCAATCTAGAAGTGTAGACTGAAGGAACAATTGTAATACTTTACTACTCTGCAAACTATTCTAGTGATAATCTGACATTAGATCTGCCTCAGCCCGGTTTCAGCCCTGCCACTCGCGGTTTAATACTAAGTCCACTTTGGTTGAGATTGCGCATTGACGCGTGACGGACGACCTATTACATAGCCTCGGTTGTAGAGATCATTGCAATTTGCTTCCTGGCTAAGCAACGAAATAATCTCACAATCACACCTCCATAAGCGATCTTTTATTATTAGTTTAATGAATAAACCGAGGCAAGTATGGTGACGTTTTCTGTTGTGGTTGCTGTAACTGCCAAACCGCAGCGGGCGGCGCCTTAGCCTGCAGCCGTCGCTTATTACAAGTCGCTGCTCTTAATGCATTCTTCTGAACGTTGCGTCATACACGCAAACTAATATTATTTTCCTTAAGTGTGCGTTATTTAAGTAATGGTTATGTTTAGCTCGGTTTAATTATAGCACGCGATTAAACATGCTCTCATTACTTAATGAATATTCCGTGCGTTACCGGGAACCTCTGACTCGGCCGCCTGTGAATCATTGTTTACGCTTCGGCTGCGGTCGACTCTATCAGTAGGTTTTGTTCGACTTTGGCCCGCAAATTCAAACAACTGAGCGTAATTTACCTTTCATTATTGTTCAGCATACATTTCGTAAAGTTGTGGCGCTACTGCATTATTTAATTCCGCCCACTCCTGCATTGATCAACCTCACGCTGAGAAGGATTTTCTTATAATGCATCAATTCAATCAATTCACACGAAACCCTTCGCTTCTACGTTTTTTATGCGTACAACTAACTAAGGTGAGGAATTCTTAGTCATGTTCTTCTCCTCTAAAAGATAGAACGGGCATTTTCCAATGATCACTGAATTGAAACACAAAACCCCTATCTTTTTACAAAGAAAATTATAAATATTGCGAGATTGGAAACTATCTGAGCGGCGTACAAAGTAATGCAATTTATTTATTTTAAATAATGAAGTTATTATTTATAGTTCTACAACCATTGTAAGTAGTTTGCGTCAGTCAAACAAATAAATTTTTTGCGATTTTTCGGTGAAGATTTTGTTGAAAAAGCAAAGTATCTGGTGGTAGCTCACACAGACCAAACAATATTCCGTGGTTGCTGAGCAGAAACAGAGACAGCGCTCCTGTCTTAGTTGGTGCCGCGCCGTGCCGATGCGATCAACAAACAACATATTCTCATTGTTGTGTTGTGGCGCTGAATGGGAATTGCGGTTTCCGGCTTCCGGACATTTATAGAAAAATCTTAACGATAAAAAATAATAACGGGCCCAACACTAAACATTGAATGATTTTGAATTTTGAGAATACTTGTGATTTATATGGTCGGAGTCAGTGATCGTAGTTTTAAAAAAGAAAACGAATATAAAAATAGACTCCTATTTTTATATACACCCATTTTGCGAGTTGACTGAAAATTTATTTACTTGGTATTGTATTGAGTGTTGATTTTTTATGGACTTGGTAAACAATGCGATTGTGATGTGCAGGTATTTTGCGACATCGTGGTGCGGGACGGGGAGATGGTGTGTGTGGAGCTGGTGGCGCGGGGACGCGGCGGAGGGGGTGGAGGGGGTGCCCAGGCCGTTATCTTCCTCGGCTCCATTCGCTACGATGCCCTCACTCGCGTTTACGACTCCAGGGTTAGTATCAAGCTCCTTACTTGCAGTAAAGCTACATCTGACTTTGGTGGCAATGAATAAAATAATGTCTTAATAATTGAAATTAAAATATCTTTATTTTGTAGGTAAGCAAATTATGTTTTATTTATTTACTTGTACATACAGCTATTTTTAAACGATTGTCCCAACACAACAGTATAACATATGAAATTGTCACATTGATTAGACACTACTCGTAATTGTTGTCGAAGAATCTGTGCGAAACCTTCGGTATTGCAATTTGTAAACTTATTTCTAATATTATTGATAGAAACAGCCCGAAGTTCTTGTTTATTGTTCATTAAAGCAATCCTCTCTGGTGGGGATCCTAAAACTTTATTAAATTTTATTTGACAAAACCCCACAAACGCAATACTTGCTACGCAGTGGGGATTTGTAGAAAAAATTCTCACCAAGATATTATTTTACCTATTATTTTAATTTTTTAGATGACACGGTCGTAGTCATCCGATGTCATCCTTAAATTTAAAATGGAGTTGTGAACTTCCTTCAAAATATTGAACAACTTTGAACGCTGAACCTTTGAACGCTGAAGAAAAGTCTTAAGTCACGAACAACAACAAAAATTTAGAATCTCTACCAGTGGGGATTTGTGGAACGAACCGGTTTTGGTTTTTATCATCTAGGTACAGGTGCTTTAGTATAAAGATTTTATTTCACTATAAATTTCAATATAAACCTCGTAATTCGTATGGGACTAGCCTTGAATATCAACGTGAAACTTAAGTTAATCCAGTGCATTGTCCCTTGAAAGGATTTATGACTTTTTGTGGACGACAGTCAAAACCGGCCGATTTAGTTTTGATCATCGTTTAAAGTTACGTCTATCACTATTTTTCTTGTATACTATTGTTCTTGTCATAAATTAAATATTCATAAATGTCAAAAGGACACTCCGAGGCCGAGTAGTGCGTAGCTCCGACAGCACGTTTGGCAGGGCAAAGATCCTGTTAACATCAGCTGCGTTACGCCCAAAGCAAAATGCCGTTTGTTATTTAAACTGTGAAAGTAGCTAAAGTAAATCAATCAACGTAGCATAGCGGTGTCCACGTCTGAAAGTTTTCGTGTTGTTAAATCGCGTACTATACAAAGCTGAGCATTCTAAACTCGCGAACGGCACCAGCTGGTTGACCAAAAGTTTGCCAGATTTTCCGTTGCCTTTCAATTTATCAACCACGTCGTGGACAGTTCAGAGAATACCAACAGCCCGACCCGGAAGCCCCTTCCAGCCCATGCGGTGACACATGTCGTTCTGAAGCGGCTTAATGGATCATTAAGTACTTGCAGAATTACCGAAGGCACACACAGTGTTGGGTCATGGAATAATTTATATTTTGGTAAAATCATATTTTTCAGAAATATTAATCTTTTTTCGGATATTTCCAATATTTTTCCTTTATTTTTCCATATTTGATGTTCCGTTGAAGTTACTGAACGAAAATGAAGGAGCCAACAACAAGTGGTGGTGCGTGATTGTTGGTGGTTTTTTCGCTGTTGTGAAATCATTTTAAATCTTGCTTTTCCGTTATGTCCCTTATAGATATAAAAGTTTATTTTATAATTCACGCTAAATGAAACTTCTAAAGATATTTCTAAACGTCGAGCATGATATGAGCATTTTAAATGATATTTTTCCTACTTTTAAAAATTTTCGGACATTTTTCCGGTAAAAATCCCATTAAGTATTTGAAATTTTTAGGAAAAGTACCCAGCATTGGGTATAGTACAGTTTGGCATGCCGGTATATCTATTATGACAAACAACGCTACACTTATGTTCGGTTGCTGCAAACAAATTGTTACTCAGTTTATTCGTAAACAACAATACTGCGACTGCGCGTGCGGTATGTCGTCTTGTTGACGTTTGATTTTTTGCAAATCTCTGGATTCATGAAAACAATGTTGTCATTAATCTGTTTGAACAAGGTTTTTTGTAAACAATCAAACATTTTATGTAAATAAATAAATATTAAACAACATCACAGACTTTGCTCTGATCCCAAAGTAAGTAACAAACGCACTTCTGTTGTGGAAATCGGAAGCACTAACACCCAGACCCAGACGATAATACAGACAAGTTGGTTTTTTTACATTGACCCGGCCGGGGATCGAACCCTGGACCTCAGAGATGGCGACACAATGAAAAGTGTGTAAGCCACTCGACCACGAAAGTCGTCAAATGTGTTCATATGCACAATGTATGTAGCAAACACAAGAAATTTAGTATGTTAATTTTGAGTAAAATTCACCAATTTATTTTATATCCATTGTGTTGTATGTTGTTGTCCGTTATACATTTTTATATGTTATTCAATACATGCACCAGCAGAACGTTGAAAAAAGTAGCGTAGCCACTGACGATGACGTCAGGAACTGGAAAAATCATAATAAGCTTCATAAAGACCACGTATAATTATTCACTTACATACTATGTATCTGACAAATTAAGTGATCTGGCTGATGAATAGGATGCTACATAAGCAATATGTAAAGTAGGTTTGGCCGACACTGACGTTGCCTTGCTTGTTCGCTCCACAGACTCGCCGCAGTTACGTAATTGACAAACTAATATTCGGTCGGTTGTGGGGTTTTCAGTTCCGTACTAGACTTGGCTACGGCCATAAATTCGATAAGGAAATTCTACGTCTCTGAGATGAGCGGACACGGATGTGTTATTCTCGTGGCGGCAAAATGGTTGAGTCATTTGTACGCAAATAGTGGGGTTATCCGATATTTAGATGTAATGACGAAACCACGATGGCAACTGAATTGCCTACGAGTATAGAACAGAAAGGGGCATCTTATGTATCTGTTCTGCGAAGACCTACTGGGCTGGGCCCAACCCGACGGGGAAACACTGCTCAGCGTACGAATATTACTCAACGTCTTGTCGTGGCAAAGCCGTCTCCCAATTTTTATTGTCAAATATCTGACCACCCACCCGTGCCTCTTAATGCCTACCTCGTAAAGAATAGCTAGTTTTTGTACAGACGTTTTCGATGATTCGGGCAAACGTTTCCTTATGACACCAAGTGACGAACCGAACAAGTCGTGCGCTTTGCCTGCTGGTAAGCGACACACCTGTCCATAGCAATTGCAATGCCACTCAAAGCTTTAAGTTGCATAGGTCTGAGGGCCGCTGCCACTGCGTCCGTCATCGTCATCTAGAGACATAAATTGACAAGTCCCCTGTGCCATTCCACCAGCACTCTTACCCTTTAAAACCGGAACGCAGTAATGTGAGCATTACTTCTTAGCGCCAGAAATAGGTAAGGCAAAAATGCGTAATCAAGACTTAAGTTCACCTGCCTCTTTCGATATCAGTAAGAAAACGAAGATTGACTGTTAATTTGCTGTCATATTGTGACAGGTCCTTATAGAGCTCATAATACAACTGACATGTAACGAATTTGACACTGGCCCAAGCCTAGTGGCCGCCTTTTACAAAATCATAATAAATGCTTTACGTATGATTAGTCTGTGGGCGTCGACTAATTTCACACCTCTAAACTAAATTCATTGACACTGGCGATGACCGCCATAATTTTTATATTATTCTCATTGACTTACAATTATATGGACGTCGGGTCCGCGCTAAAAAGTGTCCGCACTTGTAAGGCGCTAAAATCGTATACAGAGCGCCAAACTCCGCTTTAATTTTCATTTGTTCGACTGACAGCGCGATACTGTGATGACATTACAATTTAAATTTCGAATAGGTTGACTTGGGACATTTTTTTCGTGGTTTTTGTATTAGACCCGTCGTCCATTTATTTGTAAGTCAATGATTATTCTTTTAAAAGTGACACTGGCACAAGCTTAGTGGCGTCCATTAAGGAAATGATATAATAAGAATAATACTAACTTACACACTCATAGCCCCGCACTAGGGAAACCCTTATCGCAGATGACATAGACAACCACAAATTACACCAACACTCACGAGAGAAATAAATGTAGGCCATACAAATATTTCTCCCGGGCCGGGAATCGAACCCGGGACCTCTGCGTGGCAGCCCAGTATGATAACCGTTCGGCCACGAAGGCAGTTATAATAAATAATAATAAAAGAAGCATAAGATTTCTTTTCTTACTTTAAACTAAAGCACAGATACACTGAACTTAAGTTTAGTTTTCGTTTGCGAGGATAGAGCACATTGGCCTTGTACCTATGTATGTACCGAGGCGTAGACGGACATTAGCTGTATCGAATAAGGCATGTTCGTGTCGGTAATTACGCGGTGAAGGCATTGTCTGCATCGTCCTCAGCCGCGGACCGCGAACCGCGAACCGCGATTACCCAAACACAATGCGGTTTATGTTACCACAGCCGCTGCTTTGACTGTATATATATATATATATATATATACCTACGTGTTTGGGAATTTTCCTCATCATTTAGTGACACCTACATTTTTTCCATTGAATCGTGAAGTTAGTGTGTAAATGTCTGATTCCTCAAAAATGGACAACATTCAGTTTATTTTTCTGTAAATACTGAATTGCATTTACTAATTGACTTCTTCGTTGTGTAAAAATGTACAAAAGCTATTGAGTACACTTATCACGCTGGATGATAAAAAATGTTCAACAAGGATTAACGAAACATAAATTCTGATATGAATTTAATTTATAAATCTTTATTCATAGCCATTTACACAGCAGGGAACAAACTTACTTAATAGTGCTTAATTAACAGTGACTGATTGTTGTCCAGTCGAACAACATCCAGACCCCATAAAAGAATTCAACCTGTGCTAGCGGATAGTACTGTTGTCGCCGCGACGGGCCAACATCAATCGCATTTGAGACAATATGACTTACGAGTATACAAAAAGCTACTCTGACGTCCCAAAACTAGTACAGTATAACTGTTCAATTGGGACCCAGAAAAGAAAGGGTAGAGTTTGAACATAATAAATGAAACTATTTTTCCGGATTTAAATCGCGTATATTTGTTTT